CGGAGACACACAGTGATTTTGCCAACATCACACAGCTAGTTAGAGGTAGAGCCAGATTTAGAATAAAAATATTACTATTCTTATCCAGTGAACCTCTATTGTCCAACATCACATTAATGAGTCATAATCAATATCTAGCTAAGCAATTTCATATCTTTTATATAATATCATTATTAAATAATGACAACTCTTGTTTACTAAGTACCTGCTATGTATCAGATTGCTTCATACATTATTTCTTCATTTCTTTGCTGTTTTTAGAGACGAGGGTCTCGATATTTGCCCAGGCTGGAGTACAGTGGCTATTCACAGGTGCAGTCTTAGCTCACTGTAGCCTTGAACTCCTGGGCTTAAGTGATCCTCCTGCCTCAGCCTCACAAGTAGCTAGAACTACAGGCGTGTGCCACTACACCCAGCTATTACTAGTCATTACAGAAACTTCATAAGGTCAGTTTTGATAGCTTCATTTTACTACTTTTAAGAACGTAGCTTTTTGGTCCAAGTTTGCCCTACAGGGGACATTTGGCAATGTCTGGAGATGTTTTGGTTGTCACAACTCATGGGGAGAAGGCGCTATTGGCGTCTCTTGGGTAGAGGCGAGGGATGCTGCTAAACTTTCTACAACGCGCAGGTCAGCCCTCACCACAAACAATTTTCTGATCTAAAATGTCAATAGTGCCGAGGTTGAGAAACCCTGCCTTAAATGTTAATGACATATATATGTGAAAACTCTCCACAAATCCAAACTGCTGCTTTTACCATTTTGCAAGTAGATTTTTCTAGTATGACAGCCATTCCTGGGAAGATGAGCCAGTACTAGGCCCTCAGCTCATGTCTGTTGGATAGATCAGTGCATTCCAAAGATGCCTTAGCAAACATGCCAACTGAAATAAGCCAGTCACAGACAGATACTGTGTGATTTCATTTATATGAGGTATCTAAACTAATTAAACTCATGAAAACAAACACTAGAATGTGGTTGTCAAGGGCCATGTGGAAGGCAAATGGGGAGTTGTTCTTTGATGGGTGCAAAGTTTTCCTTATGCAAACATGGGGCAGTTTCAGAGATCTGTTGCATGATATGCACACAGTTAACACTACTCTACACTTAAAGACGGTTAAGATGGTAAATTTTATTGTATGTGTGGTAAGTATTTTTCACCACAGTTTAAAAAAAACGCTTTAGCAAGTCTTCAACACCAGTGCTTAGTGGTAGAATTTAAAGTTTCCAGGTCCCAGACCTCAGAATTAGGGGTTAGAACAGGACTCTGAGGCAGATTTTCCTGTGGCAGTGTGTGTACCTGATTAAAAGCTACTGTTGCAGTCCAGCTAAGTTGACAGAAATGCAACAATATGTTAAATACGGAAGGACAGGTGGGGGTGATGGGAGAGGGAAAAGGTGTGAAAAGCTGACCCTCCCCATCTCGGAGACACCAAGTAAGGGCTGGGAAATGGGCTGATGGATTAGGCTAACTCTTGTACTTCAGAGGAATAATTTATTTACAGAAGAGAGCTAAGGGTTTTGAATACATTTATAAATACAAATGTTATTGGAATTAGGTGCCCTTCAAAAGAGTTGAATATAACTGTTCGCTTTGGTCACAAAGTTTCCAAATTCATTTTTGTTTTGCTTTGGATATATTTATGTAATCCTGAAAAGTTAGCCCGAATTAAGTGTTATCACTGTGCTTCCAAGTGCAAATATTTTACTAGACTCATTGAAAAGCATAAATATTATCTTTAGCTTCGGTTGGTCTCTGAGGGTAGAAACTGCATATAGGAACAAATCTCACGAAATTAAGTAATCTCATCCTGTTTAATTTGTCCTTCTATTGAATAGTGAGTTACCTAGAGACATGCCCATAAAATTTTGTTTTCTGAAGTCTTT